TGTGTGAAAATCTTTTTTGGTGACAAAGAAACGCGCAACTAGGAGCCGACGAGAGATACACGCGTTTATCGTGTACGAGGTATAAAACGAAAGAGGATCGTATTGGGTGAGGGAATAAAGGAGAGATACAAAGGGAGATTTTTATCCCCTTCTACCGCTACTTCTTCCTCTTCTTCTTCTATTATCTTGATTCTTTCCGGGGGTTGTGAGAGACAGAAGAAGGAAATATGAAACGAGAGGATAGGAAGAACGGCGGGCCCGTGGCACGGGATGTGCCGCCCCTGGAGACATTTTACCGTGCGATTCGTCCGCTCGACGCTCGTGAATGTTGAATGCCGTCCGCGACGATATGGAGCCATTAAGATCGACGATGATACGCGAGGACGCGGGGACGCGGACGTGGAGTGGACAGTGCACCGGTGCCTTCAGCAAGAGTACCAGGACGACGTCTAGCTCGATGTAAATGTTGTGCGCGTACGTGTGCTGTTTACAACGGGGACTGTTTCACGAGGACTATTCTGCGGTGTGCGTTAGTACGATGATGATGGGACAGGACGGGGACAGGATGGTTAGAAGCGTGGTGGAGTGTACAGATGTGACGAATCATCAGACGATATACTCGAATAATAATTACAAAGACACCGAAGAATCGGTTAGTAGAACTGTGGCAATGAAACGTTGCTTAAACCGCGTGGTGAACGTTCACGTGCACGGGAAACCAAGCACGCGAGAGCAACTCCACTAGAGTGACCGAGTGAGCGAGATAGAGAGAGAAAGATTGAGAGATAGAGTGAGAGAAAGAGATAGTCACACATAACAGAAGGAGAGAGAAAGACACATAGTGTAAGATTCGATGGAACAGTTTCGAGCGTTCCGGTGGGTATAAACGGAGACCCACGAGTGCGATGGAGCCCGAGTGTCTGGAGCCATTGAACCTGGTGATAAAGAAGGACGACAACACAGAGAGCAGCGGGCCGAGCAGCGCGACGATCGAAGAGGGCAGCAGCGAGGCATCGATCAACAACAAGATCGACGAGGAAAAGTCTGGTAGCGAGTCGAGTAAGATCGAGCAGGACGGAATGACGATATTCCAGGAAACATCGAAGCCAAGCGAGGCTGGCTTACCAACAGCCGATCACAAGATCCTGACCGCGCTCTACATGAGCAGCTTGATGCAGATGTCGAACATGAACCTGCCGAGAAGTGTGACACCGCCTCCGTACGGTGCACAGCAAAACTTCATGCAGCTGCTCGCTATGGTCGAGGCACGACACCGTATGTGGCAGCAGCTGAACTGGCCGCTGCCGCAGAATTTCCCAAGGAACCCGTTGACCTTGCCTGGACAACCGTACTTCGACGGACCAACGACAAATCTGACCGAGCAACTGTGCAACGCACAGAATACCGCGTCGACCTATCCCCTATCCTGCACGAAACCCGACCAACAAACCCTCAACCACGACGCGAAGCAGTCTTACTTCAAACGGTAACGTGTGTTGGAGGTTATGTTGGGTAAAATTGGGACCTGAGTTGATTTTACGCGGGAAAAGTAGGATGCTTGTATAATACGAAATTTTTCTTATTAAACGTTTTATAAATTTGTTAGATAGAGATCGTACGTAAGGAGTGTGACGTATCGATGAACGGATTGATAATTTGTTTCGATGTTTGTTGTACAGGTCTACGGTAGAACAGAAGAATTCCACGTCGTTACCGACGGACAACTCGAAGTCACAGGACACAGGGCAACAGAACAATCAAGGTAAGGGATCGTTTGGCAGATCTGGGCTTCGGTGATTCAGTTTACCGTTAATTTTCACTGTAGTGGCCACCTCTCATACCCGTCGATGATGTTTGACAGATAAAAAGAAACCTCATATAAAAAAGCCTTTGAACGCGTTCATGCTGTACATGAAGGAGATGAGGGCGAAGGTCGTCGCGGAGTGTACCTTAAAAGAGAGCGCCGCGATCAACCAAATATTGGGAAGACGAGTGAGTAGACGGATATATAATTGTGTTAGAGAAGCTCAGTATATATTGTTGGAACAGTGTTTGCATCAGGGTTTGTATCTTAACCATTAGAACTCCATTAGAAATTCTGTTCAAATGTATACCCGTTATTTTCGTAATTTCTTATGTTTTCCATTCGAATATCACTGTTGTGTGAATTGGTGTATAAAGTTGTTTTCGTTTCACCTGTTTATTAATTGTGTGATCACATGTTTCAGGAGCAAATTGTCATTCAAGTTCATTTTTAGAGGATCTCAAGGCTAGTAATATTCTTTTGTATAATCCCAAGGTGTTTAGTGTGACCTGTGACTGGTTCCTGAAACATTTCCCCACATTGTTAATAACAATGGAGATACTTTAGAAGAGAATCGATGCGAGCCCTGATGTAAAGAAAAAAGTAAGAGTCGCGTGTCGAAGTCAACGTTTTCTTCTGTGTTCTTCCTTCAAACAGCTCTCGTCACTTGACCGCGAATTTAATTAAAATAAATCATCGCAACGGTAAAACTTAAATTCACATTGAACATTACAGATTTGTCTACAGTGGCCATCAAAGTTACCGCTCTCTTGCAACTCTTTAGAACAGAGTCACGACTTCACGCTTGACACTGGAAGCAAAACATTGACTTTGCGAACACTCGACGATCGCGATCCCCGGAGAGACCCTGTGCAGGGTGTCTCCAGGGATGCAGGAAAACGTAAAAAGAAAAAAGAAAAAGAAAAAGTTGCATGCGTTTTGGTTAACTCTTTCGTTGATCCGCGAGATTTACATAGAGTATCGAAGCACTAACCGTATCTGCTAGTATCTCAGTACGACTAGATAGATAGAATAGAATAGAATAGAGAGAAAGAGAGGGAGAGAGAGAGAGAGAGAAAGAGAGAGAGCTGTCTCGGCCATGTTAAAGAAAAAAAAGGGTTGTTTCTTGGGTTGGGTCGAGCGAGAAATAGGGGTTGGGACAATAGAGAAAAAAAAAAAAGTAAGAACACCTCTCTCTTGTGGTGTCTGTATATCCACTCTGTGAGGGTAAACGTGTCGTTAAAGAATCATGATAACGATAACAGTAATAAGATAAGATAAGAAAAAAAAAGTACAGTAATACGATGATAAATTTCCTTTAAAAAAAAAAAATCAATATCGGCAAAAAAAAATGTATACACACGTGGATCAAAAAAAAAAAAAAAGGGACACACGGTGCACGGATAAATACTGTGAGACTGTGAATCTGTGAATCTGAATTTTGGGGGTATGACACGCAGTGGCACTCGCTAAGCCGGGAGGAGCAGGCGCGGTATTATGAGGCGGCCAGGCAGGAGCGCCATCTCCATCAGCAACGATACCCCGGCTGGAGTGCCAGGGATAATTACGGATACGGCAGCAAGAAGAAGAAGAGGAAGAAAGAACGGTCCGCAGATCCCACCGGAGGTACCACTTTCCAGTGCTAGAACAGCAGGCCCTTAA